TTTAAATTTAGGGTTGCTGCCATTTGATATTAACTGGCTATTTTGTCCTTTCGTTGATAAAAATTCTTCTTTATGTTAATGCTCTTTACTTTTTGGTGTATTTTTAGAAAGGGTCATACTGGTTGTTCCGATACCCTTTCTTCTGTTTGATCCATTCGGCTGTTTAAGCTTGTACATATTTCACTAAGTTCTCGTGTTGTATTTTTCAACTCCATAAGTTCATTTGTATTCTTCTCTATATTGTCTATTCTTTTCAACATTTCATCTAACCTTTTTTCCAAGTTCTTAGTTTCTTTACATTGGGTTAGAACAAGTTCCTTTAACTCCCAGAAGTTTCTTATCATCCACCTTTTAAAGCCAACTTCAGATAATGGCACACAGTCCTTTTCCATCAGGGCTTGTTCCATTACTGATGAGTCCTTTTCCATCAGGGCTTGTTCGGTTGCTGATGAGTCCTTTTCCATCAGGGGTTGTTCCGTTGCTGATGGGTTCTGATTTTGAGTATACTCCGCCTTCTTAGGCTGTTTTTTTCCCTTCATTGTAGATGAACCGCCTTTCTAAATAGGTTTCTGAGTCGACGTCCGACTTATTGATTCCCAGTGCTGGGATCCGAGCAACCCATTGTGGTGGCCTAAATAGCAGCGATAAGACTGATGGTGCTCTTCTGCCCGGGAATCTCTGGTCTGGCTTCCCTCTTGAGTCCGCAACAAGCGGCTCTGACTTCCCGGAGCTCCAAACTCCGGTCAGTAAGGGAAGCGGTCCCCTTGGCTCTGCGTGAAGAGCTGCTGCGCCGAGACGCCGGCAAAACCGCTGCGGCGGCCACAAGAGTCGCGCTGGCGACCCGTGGGGCTCCTCCACTGGGAATCGGCTAATCGGTAAGTGACGAAAATTCGTCTAAAAATGTGGCGTCGTCTCGTTCTCTGAGCTTTCACTGGGAGCTACAATCCTGAGCTGTTAGTGGTCGGCCATCTTGGATCTGATCGGGAATTAGTTTTTAAATAGTGGTATATCCGGCCAGGGGTGGTGGCTCAAATTAGCCCTGTGTGGTGTCGGGCACCTGTAATCCCAGCTACTTGAGAGGCTGAAGCAGAGAATTGCTTGAATTTAGGCGGCAGAGGTTGCAGTGAACTGAGATTGCACCACTGCACTCCAGCCTGGGCTACAGAGGGAGACTCTGTCTCAAAACCAACCAACAAACAAACAAACAAACAAACAAACACAACAACAACAAAACTAGTATATACATTCAATGGAATCCTATGCACCTATCACAAAGAATAATATAGAACTATGTTGATGGAAGTGGAAGAATCTCCAATAGTTATACTTGAGTATATGTGCATGTGTATACATATACATATATGTAGTTACATATATATACTAATATATATTATTATTTATGTAACAATTATTTGGTTATATATCCTTATGAGCTATAGAGGTTTAGAAGTAAAATTACCCAAATTTGATGGTGCTTGGCTGTGAATGGTGAGATTTTAGATAATTTTTATCTTTCTGATACCTTTATGTATTATTTGTTTACAAATTTTCAATTATGAAAATGTTTTATCTTTATGGAATACTTAAAAAAAACTGACCAAAGAAGTTATAAGGAACATCCCAGCACTTTGGGAGGCCAAGGCAGGTGGATCACGAGGTCAAGAGATCAAGACCATCCTGGTCAATAAGGTGAAACCCCGTCTCTACTTAAAATAGAAAAATTAGCTGGGCATGGTGATGCGCGCCTGTAGTCCCAGTTACTCAGGAGGCTGAGGCAGGAGAATTGCTTGAACTTAGAAGGCAGAGGTTGTGGTGAGCCAAGATCGTGCCATTGCACTCCAGTCTGGGTAATAACAGTGAAACTCGGTCCCAAAAAAAAAAGTTATAAGGAACAATAATTATTTCTAATTATTATTAGGAACTTACTATATGCTAGACATTCTGCTATTTTATATGCATTATTTGATTTTAATTCTCACAACCCTATGAGATTATTATCCTGTTTTGTAATATTGAGCACACTGAGGCTTCAAATGTTTAAGTAAACTGCCCAGAATCACAGGGTTAGTAAATTGTGCGGCAGGACTAAAGGCCAGGTTTCCCAGCACAGTGCTTGGGTCTCTCTGGCCTGACCTACAGGTAAACTGGGTTGTTCTTTGGAGCTAACAGAAAGTTACCAATATCTTAAATACAGTCACTTCAACCCACCAGTCATATCTCCAAGGCCATCTTATCTTTCACCTTTTCTGTAGCATGCACTAAATACAATACTGTATCTATCATCAAAGCCACTACCAACTAAAGATGGAAAACTTTCTGTGGTCATATGTTACTATGGTTGCCGACATGAACCATGCCTTCCAATATTGGAAGGTACCCTTATTCTTGAATCTGGGCTGGCTCTTTTACTTGCTTTAACCAAGTGTATGGCGGAGGTGCTAGTTCTGCACCTAAGCTTTAAGAAGGTCTGGCAGTTTCCACTTTTGCCCTTTTGGGAGCCCTGAGCCAACATGTAAGAAGTCTTCCTACTCCGCTAGACAAATTACACGGAAAGGCCATGTGGAGAGGGAGAGATTATGGACTACAGGGAGACAGACCCAGTTCTTTTTTTTTTTGAGATGGAGTCTTGCCCTGTTACCCAGGCTGGAACGCAATGGCGCAATCTTGGCTTATTGCATTCTCCATCTCCTGGATTGAAGCTATTCTGCCTCAGCCTCCCGAGTGGCTGGGATTACAGGCACATACCACCATGCCTGGCTAATTTTTTGTGTCTTTAGTAGAGATAGGGTTTCACCATGTTGGTCAGATTGGTCTTGAACTCATGACTTTGTGATCCGCCCACTTTAGCCTCCTAAAGTGCTGGGATTACAGACCTGAGCCACCGTGTCCAGTCGAGAGGCCCAGTTCTTTCAGCGGAACCAGCCCCAACTTGATCCTGTGACAAGCAGAACAGCTGGGCTAATCACAGCCCAGCTGGGCTAATCACAGCCCAGACTGCAGAACGTTGAGTACATAAAATGGTTGTTGTTTTTTTTCTTTTCTTTTTTTTAAAGATGGGGTTTCACCATGTTGTCAGGCTGGTCTTGAACTCCCGACCTCAGGTGATCCACCTGCCTTGGCCTCTAAAGTGCCTGGATTACAGGCATAAGCCACTGTTCCCAGCCCAGTTGTTGTTTTAAGTCTTAAGTGTTGGGGTGGTCTGTTACACAACAAATTATGAAAACACCTCCCGAGCTCTCCCTGGGTGACTACTGGGACACTTACTTCTGCATAAAGCTGAACTCTCCATTCTTTAATCCCTACCATCTCCCAATTTTATGGCAATATGCCAGAAGTGTTCACTTTAATTCCAAGGACGTGGGCAGGCCTTTTTTTTTCTTTTTTTTAAATGGAAAGAGGTACTAGGTCCAGAGGCTGCCTTTAGCCCTCACTTTGTTACTACTTGTATGCCTTTTGAAAGTCATTAACCTTTCTGTCTCAGTCGCAAACTGGGGGAGATTTCTATTCACTCCAGTTACTAGAGGGTAAAATGAGTATAAACAAGTTGAAAATAAATCGAAATGCGTTAACTGAGCTTCCAGCTTGAGGCAGGTGTGGACTTGAGGTCACTTTTTTTCTTTTTTGGAGATTGCATCTTGCTCTGTCTCCCAGGCTGCTCTGTCTCACTGCAGCCTCGACCTCCTAGGCTCAAGCAATCCTCCCACTTCAGCCTCCCACCTCAGCTCCCCATGTAGCTGGACTTCTGGCACACCACCACCATGCCTGGCTAATTTTTGTATTTTTTTTTAGACACGGGGTTTCACCATGTTGTCCAGGCTAGTCTTGAACTCCTGGGCTCAAGATATTCCCCTACCTTGGCCTTCTGAAGTGCTGGGATTATAGGCAAATAGAATAGAGAGACTAGGATCCAAAACTGAGCCAAGGCGTCCAGCCTCTGAATGTAAAATCTTGAACAAATCACTTAGCATCTCTGATTTGGCCAGACTCGGTAGCTCATGCCTGTAATTCCAGCACTTTGGGAGGAGGAGGCGGGCAGATTACCTGAGGTCAGGAGTTCAGGACCAGCCTGGCCAACATGATGAAACCCCGCCTCTACAAAAAATACAAAAATTAGCTGGGCAAGGTGGCGGGGGTGCTTGTAATCCCAGCTACTCTGGAGACTGAGGCAGGTGAATCGCTGGAACCCAGGAGGCGGGAGCTGCAGTGAGTCGATCGTGCCATTGCACTCCAGCCTGGGTAACAAGAGCAAAACTCCGTCTTAAAAAAAAAAAAAAAAAAAAAGGCCGAGAGCGGTGTCTCACACCTGTAATCCCAGCACTCTGGGAGGCCGAGGAGGGCGGATTACCTGAGGTCAGGAGTTCAAGACCAGCCTGACGAACCGGAGAAACCCCATCTCTACTAAAAATACAAAATTATCCGGGTGTGGTGGTGGGTGCCTGAAATCCCAGCTACTCGGGAGGCTGAGGCAGGAGAATTACTTGAACCCGAGAGGCAGAGGTTGCGGTGAGCTGAGATCGTGCCATTGCACTCCAGCCTGGGCAACAAGAGCGAAACTCCGTCTCAAAAAAAAACAAAAACAAAAACAAAAAAAACTCTCTGATCCTCAGTTCCTTCTCTGTAAATAAGAGTGTTCCTCCCCGCCTCACAAGCTTACTTCGCTGACGATTCAGTGAGACATCGCCTGAGGACACACCTGTTAGCAGCGCTCACTATCCGCCATCATCCCCAAGTCTCCTTCCCTTATCTTCATAACCTACCCAATCCCAGCCAGGGTGACAGGTAAGTCTGCAGCAGGGTCCGGAAAACTTGTTTCTTTTTCTTTTAAATACGTTTTCCCGGGAATTCGAAGGCAGGTCCTCCTCCTGCCACACCGCAAAGGACTCCGCTTGCCACCACGCCCCCGCCTTCTGTCAGGAGCCGCAAACTCTAGGTATCGCGGTTTCTTCTTTCTTCAGGCTCAGCCAGAGGTCGCGCGAGAAGGGTTTGTCCAATCATGAGGCTAGATGGCTTCACAAGATGGCGGCGCGTTGGGAGCGTAACAGCTGCGTTTCTAGGAGCTTCGCGCTGCGGCTGGTTTAAGATTCTGGGGTTGTACAGGCCCACGCCAGACACGTCTGGCAAGAACCTCGACCTCAGAGGTAGGTCCCTCATATCTCTCACGCAGATTTCCGATAATGGGTCACTTAACCCATGGATCACCCTGTTCCTCATTCTTGAGTTTTGGGCTAGTGAGGTGCTTACTTCGGGGTCTAGGAAGGGAAGCCTGATGTGGCTGTGTGTGCGCGCGCGGTGGTGTTGAGGGTGGGTGAGTGGGAGGAGTTGGCGAATAGAATAGAGGCTAGTTAGGATTGAAGTAGGAGAGACTCCCCGGGGTTTGGGAGGTTTAGAGAGATCCAAAACTGAGGCGGGAAGGCAAAATGAGCGGATGAGGGCGAGGAAAGAGTGGAAGAGACGGAGAAATGGCATTGACAGGACTAGTGGGAAAAGTCGGATTTATGAGAGAAGGCGAAGAGAGGAGGTGTAGATTGGTGTTGAGGTGGGAGGGATCTGTGCAGAGAGAATTCAAAGTTATGAAACAGGTATTTAGACTATTTTACACACTATGTATTAAGAGAATGGTAGTTGAAGAGGGTTAATGGTCAAGAGGAACCAAGAAAACACGAGCATGGAGATGAAAAGGGAAAAAAGTGGAAGCCTCATTCTCAGGGTTCTACTATTAACTTTAGCTTTGTGTACTGACTCAGGTAACCAGGAAGAAAAGTTCCAGTCCTTGGGCAGAGCTTTTTTCTAAACTCAATGAGGGTGCTTTTTTTTTTTTTTTTTTTTTTTTGAGACGGAGTTTCGCTTTTGTTACCCAGGCTGGAGTGTAATGGTGCGATCTCGGCTCACCGCAACCTCCGCCTCCTGGGTTCAGGCAATTCTCCTGCCTCAGCCTCCTGAGGAGCTGGGATCACAGGCACGCGCCACCGTGCCCAGCTAATTTTTTGTATTTTTAGTAGAGACGGGGTTTCACCATTTTGACCAGGATGGTCTCGATCTCTTGACCTCGTGATCCACCCGCCTTGGCCTCCCAAAGTGCTGGGATTACAGGCTTGAGCCACCGCGCCCGGCCCGAGGGTGCTTTAATTTATGTCAGTGGTCTGGACAGGGAAGAGTTCCATGGTGCTTTCAATGAACAAATACCGAGTGCCTACTCTCTCAGGCCTTATTTTAGGCGTTGGGATTTGCGTTGAACAAGACAGACAATATATTATACCTCTCAAAGCTTACTGATGGGAGTTTTTTTAAAGTAAGCGAAATACATGGAATGTCAGATGAGTGAATTCTGTGTCGAAAATTGAAGCTAGAGCCTAGGCTGCAAAGCTAGACTCCCTTTTTACAAACAATGAAGTAAATTAAGGTGCAGTGGCCTGTGCCTGTAGTCCCAGCTACTTGGGAGGCTCAGGCTGGAGGATTGCTTGATCCCAAGAGTTGGAGGCTACAGGGAGCTATGATTGCACCACTGCACTCTGGGCAACAAAATGAGACCTTGTCTCAACAAGAAAAAAAAAAAAAAAAGAGTTGATGCCCAGTTAAACTCTGAAGAATAGGTTAAATTTAACTAAAAACCCATTGCCTATACTGGGAGATTAGTTAGAAAAGAAGTAGTTGTGTTGACTCATTCTGTATCTGTTCTGACAAGAAAAGTTGAATAACATAGAAAATGAATCGTATCTTCCATATCTGTAATTTAATTTGTTTCACATATGTTCAGAGTATCATGTTTTATGGGCACTGATGTCATCAGCTATGTAGTCTAGAATTTTCATTAATGTGTTGCAGACCCCTAACATGCCACTGTCTCTTGAAGTCACTGTTAGAATATGGTGACTATAGTGAGCAACAATGTATATTTCAAGATTGCTAGAAGAGAGGGCTTGAAATGTTACCAAAACATAGATATAAAAAAATTCTCAAAGTGTGCAACCTTATGAGAGAACTTGAACCAGAAAAAAAAAGCACTCCAAGTGATGAATACCCCACATACTACTGTGACGTGATCACTTGATCATCACACATTCTTTTTTTTTTGAGACAGAGTCTTGCTCTGTCACCCAGGCTGGAGTTCAATGGCGTGATCTCGGGTCACTGCAGCCTTCTCCTGGGTTCAAGTGATTCTCCTGCCTCAGCCTCCTGAGTAGCTGAGAATACAGGTGCCCGCCACCACACCTGGCTAATTTTTTTGTATTTTTAGTACAGATGGGGTTTCACTATGTTGTTCAGGCTGGTCTTGAACTCCAGACCTCAGGTGATCTGCCCACCTCGGCCTCCCAAAGTGCTGGGATTACAGGCATGAGCCACCTCACCCAGCCAATCCTCACGCATTCTATGTGTATACCTCATAAATGTCACATGTCCCCCATAAATGTGTAAAATATTTTCTATCAGCTTAAAGAAATTATTCTTAGCGTAGTTTTCTTTTTTGGTCCTTGCCAGAATCACAAGAAAGGGCATTTTCTTTTTCTTCTTTTTTGAGATGGATCTCATTCTGTCACCCAGGCTGGAGTGCAGTGAGTGGCATGATCTTGGCTCACTGCAGCCTCCGCCTCCTGGGTTCAAGTGATTCTCCTGCCTTGGCCTCTCGAGGAGCTGGGATTATAGGTGGCCACCACCACGTCTGGCTAATTTTTGTATTTTGTATTTTAGTAGAGATGGGGTTTCACCATGTTGGCCAGGCTGGTCTCAGGTACTCCTGATCTCAGCTGATCCTCCTGCCTCTGTCTCCCAAACTGCTGGTATTACAGGCATGAGCCACCACACCCGGCTGACACTTTTATTTTTGATGTTTCTTTTTAATAAAGTCTATTATTTGTATTTGTTTGTTTTGAGACAGGGTCTCACTGTGTTGCCCAGGCTGGAGTGGACTGGAACTCCTGGGGGCTCAAGCCATCCTTAGCCTCCCTAGTAGCTAGGATCAGAGGCACACACCACCTTGCCCAGTTTATGTTTTCTTGAGGCCTGAGGTCCTTCCTAGTTTTATGCTCCCCACTTTCCTGATGGTCAGTAAAGGGTACATCAATGGTAGGAAATAGGTATATACTCAGTTTTAGTCATAGTGTGAGGGGCAAAATGTAGTAACAGTATGCTGAAAAACTTGCAGGTGACTACTAATTCCCTCAAATTATGAACTGTTTACTCAACAAATATTTATTGTATACAAGTTGCCAGGGGGTATAGTGAAGATTAGCATGGCTGTGGTTGCAGGTTTGTGTGTGACATATGCAAATCGATTACATATGCAGCCGTAAACTGAAGCTCTCTGAGGGAGAAGCAGCACAGGGAGCTTTGGAAGCATGTAGATGGGCATTTGAATGGATGGTGCGGTCAGAGAAAGCCTGGCTGAGAAAGTGATGCCTGATGTGTGATTTGAGCAGCTAGTGGGCCTTCAGAGATGAAAGAAGATGGTGAGAGGATGAGGAGAGTCTGGTAGCCAATAAGAATAGCGAGTGGTCGGGCCGGGTGCGGTGGCTCAAGCCTGTAATCCCAGCACTTTGGGAGGCCAAGGCGGGTGGATCACGAGGTCAAGAGATCGAGGCTATCCTGGTCAACATGGTGAAACCCCGTCTCTACTAAAAATACAAAAAATTAACTGGGCATGGTGGCGTGTGCCTGTAATCCCAGCTACTCGGGAGGCTGAGGCGGGAGAATTGCTTGAACCCAGGAGGCAGAGGTTGTGGTGAGCCGAGATTGCGCCATTGCACTCCAGCCTAGGTAACAAGAGCGAAACTCCGTCTCAAAAAAAAAAAAAAAAAAAAAAAAGAATAGCGGGTGGTGAAACAGACTACCATGCAGCAGAGAACAAGAAAGAAGACCAGTATGTCTGGAAGGGAAAGTGGCCACAAATGAAATTGGAGGGACAGATAAGGCCTGGATTATGCACGCCTTGTTAGTGATTTTAGACTTTATTAGCCTAATTGGGCTGCCACTGAAGGGATTTAGTAAGGAAATGTTTACATTTGCATGAGGGGAGTGGCTTGTCTGCTGAGTGAAAAATGGCTTGTAGAAGGCAAGAGTGGTTGTAAAGAGATCAGTTTGTGAAAGAGATCAGTGAAAGTCTTAGAGCAACCCAAGAAAGAGATGGTAATGATCTGGGCCACAGAGGTGGTGCTGTGAAGGGTGAAAAGTGGAATGAGTCAAGAAATAATTGGGAGATAGAGAGTATTCAGGCCATGGTGTGTTGTGAATGGGGGAGGCAGCGTAGAGAAGGTGTTGGAGATTTTTGATATGTGTATCACAAGAGAGAGAGTGGTGCATTCGGTGAGATAGGGAAGATGAGGAGGACCAGTTTGGGGTGGGTAGAAGTGATTTGATTTTGCACATCTTGTGCATGTATTTTTGAACCTTTGAAGTGAAAAATATGGTAGGCAGTTGGATATGTGATTTGGAAAAGTCTGGATTGAAGACAACACTTCTTTTTTGAAATTGGTTTAATTTCCAGTGTAGGAAGCTGTCAAAAAACCAGCTGAAATAGCGTTGACAGATTTATTGCTATGTAAAATTCTATCTCTAACAAAGCTTGCAAAGGAAAGACGTTTATTGCTAGGAGATGTTGTAATAGAGGATTGTCTTAACTGGGGAGATTAGGGAAGGAAAGATCTTCCTGAAGATGAGGTGCTTGAACTGTGAGCTTCCGGATGACTAAGAATTTCAACTGAAGAGAGGGAGGAGAGAACATTACAGATAAAAAGAATAGCCTGCATGAAGGCCGCGTGGTCAGGGTGCAAGAACAGAAAGAGCAAGGGCATGTGACTTAAACTGATAGTGAAAACACAGGTAATACCAGGTCATGTGGGGCCTAATATGTATGCTGAAGTGATCTTTTTAATTTTATCCTAAGAGTAAGGTTTTGAGCAGGTGGACATAGTAGGAGGACATACTGAGATTTGAGTTTAGCAATGATCACTGTGAGGTGGAAGGAAGGATGGCAAGAACAAAAGTGGATGCAGGGAGATCAGTTAAGAGGCTACTGTAAGCCAGGTGCAGTGGTGCATACCTGTAGTCTCAGCTATTTGGGAGGCCAAAGTAGGAGGATTACTTGAGCCCAGGAGTTCAAGTCCAGCCTGGGCAATGTAGTCTCTAAAATAAAATATAAATAAATAAATAAAAACGCTGTTCTGGCTGGGCATGGTGGCGTATGGCTATAAAAATCCTAGCACTTTGGGAGGCCAAAGTGGCAGAGTTGCTTGAGACCAGGAGTTCAAGACCAACCTCAAAATATACATAACATAGTGAAACCATGCATCTTAAAAAACAAAAAAGAGGCCTCTGGGCTTGACATTGTTGGGGATAGATGGATTTAAGAGGTATTTAGCAGGTAAAACCTACAGGAGTGGTGATTTCTTGGATATGAGAAACTATCAGGTGACTCCTAGGTTTTTGGCTTACATAATACTGTTTAGAAGAATTATCATTATCTAAAAAGTAGAAAATACAGAAAGATATTAAGAAACTAAAAGTGACTTACTACCCAGAGATATATATGTATATAAAATAGTAATTTTTTTTTTTTTTTTTGTGAGACAGAGTGTCACTCTTGTTGCCCAGGCTGGAGTGCGATGGCTTGATCTCGGCTTATTGCAACCTCTGCCTCCCAGGATCAAGCAATTCTTCTGCCTCAGCATACTGAGTAGCTGGGACTACAGGTGCCCACCACCATACCCAACTAAGTTTTTATTTTTAGTAGAGACAGGGTTTTACCATATTGGCCAGGCTGGTGTCAAATTCCTGACCTTGTGATCCACATGTTTTAGCCTCTAAAGTGCTGAGATTACAGGCGTGAGCCACCGCGCCTGGCATAGTAAGATATTTTTTAAAATTACCAACTACCTGGAGATTTACTAAACCACTATAATAGTTTCTCTTTCAGTTTTTATTTCTTGATATAAGTACAGTCACTTTTATTTCTTGTTGCAATTTGGAAGAAGGCAAAATTATATTTGTTTTTATTTGGTTTTAGCTACCTAGGAATGACAAGATTGAAACTTTAAGTTGGAATCAAAGATATTTTTTCAAACTTTAGTGATGTTATGGTGCACTCCCGAATATTCAGTCTTTGTAAGGCCACTATAAAAACTAACCTCCAGGCTGGGTGTGGTGGCTCATGTCTGTAGTCGTTGCCCTTTGGGAGGTTGAAGCAGGAGCATCACATGAGCTCAGGAGTTGGAGACCAATCTGGGCAACAAAGGGAGACTCTGTCTCTATAAAAAATAAAATTAAAAATAAATTAGCCAGGTGTGGTGGCATGGTGGCATGTACCTTTAGTCCCAGCTACTCAGGAGGCTGAGGTGGAAGGATTGCTTGAGCACGGGAGATGGAGGCTGCAGTGAGTTATGATTGTGCCATTGCTCTACACCCTGAATGACAGAGTGAGACCTTGTCTCAAGTCAGACAAAACAAAACTAACTTCTAACTGATATTATTGGCTATAGATCATACTGTCTTCTGTCACTTTGATTTTCTTAAAGGAATAATTTTCAGCTTTCTCCTCTTGATTTAAAAAAAAAAAAAGATTCACCCTCATGTTGTCAACATTTTAAAAATTATGGTAAAATATACATAACATAAAATTTACCATTTTAGTCATTTTTTTTTGTTTTGAGGCAGAGTTTTGTTCTTGTTCTCAGGCTGGAGAACAATGGCATGATCTTGGCTCTCCGTAACATCTACCTCCCAAGTTCAAGTAATATTCCTGTCTTAGCCTCCTGAGTAGCTGGGATTATAGGCATATGCCACCATGCCCGGCTAATTTTGTATTTTTAGTAGAGATGGGGTTTTTCCATGTTGATCAGGCCGATCTGGAGCTCTTGGTTTCCCAAAGTGCTGGGTTTACAAGCATGAGCCACCATGCTGGTCCATTTTAGCTATTTTAAGCGTACAATTCAGTGACATTAAATATATTCATTCTCTGCTGGGCTCGATTGCTCATGCCTGTAATCCCAGCACTTTGGGAGGCCAAGGCGGGTGGATCATGAGGTCAGGGGTTCAAGACCAGACTGGCCAACATGGTAAAACCCTGTCTCTACTAAAAAATACAAAAATTAGCTGGGGATAGTGGCTCGTGCCTATAATCTCAGCTACTTGGGAGGCTGAGGTAGGAGAATTGCTTGAACTGGGACCCAGGAGGCAGAGATTGCAGTGAGCCAAGATTTCACCACTGCACTCCAGCCTGTGCTACATAGCGAGACTCCATCTCAAAAAAAAAAAAAATATATATATATATATTTCTTTTTTTTTTCATTCTCTTGTGCAACCATCACCTCTGTCTCCAGAACTTTGTCATCATCCCAAACTGAAACTCTGTACCTATTAAACAGTAACTCCTCATTTTCCCCCCCTCAACCCCTCATTACCTCTCTCTGACTGTGTAATAAATTTACCTCTTTGAGGTGCCTCATATAAGTGGGAGCATACAATATTTGTCCTTTTGTGTGTGGTTTATTTCCCTTAGCATCATGTATTCAAGGGTCTTCTATGTTGTAGCATGTATCAGAGTTTCATTCCTTTTCATGGCTGTGTAATATTTATTGTATGTATATACCATATTTCATTTATCCATCTTCATCTGCTGATGAACACTTGGGTTCTCACCTTTTCACACTTGTGAATGACATTACTTTGAACATTGGTGTACAAATATCTCTTATAGTTCCTTCTTTCCATTCTTTTGGGAATACAGCTAGGAGTGGAATTGGTGAATCAGATAGTAATTCTATGTTTAGCTTTTTAAAGAACCACCAAGCTTTTTTCTACAGCAGCTGTGCCATTTCACATTCCCACCAGCAATGGACGAGAACACCAGCTTCTTCACATCCTTGCAGAATGCTTGTTGTTTCTGTTATCTTTTATTTTTGTTTTTTGTTGATAATAGCCAACCCAGTGGGTATGGAGTGGTATCTCAGGTGGTTTGATTTGTATTTCCCTGATGACTAATGATGCTGAGCATGTCTTCATGTGCTTATTTGTTGTATACATTTTTAAAATGTAATTTCTACTTTCTCACTTGCTCAGCAAATAAATGTTGGCTGTAACTATTAACTTGGCATCCACAGCTTTCCCCATTAAAAAAAATTTTTTTTTTTGAGACAGAGTTTCACTCTTGTTGCCCAGGCTGGAGTGCAGTGGCAAGATCTTGGCTCACTGCAACCTCCGCCTTTCAGGTTTAAGCAATTCTCCTGCCTCAGCCTCCTGAGTAGCTGGGATTACAGGCTCTCACCAGCACGCTTGGCTAATTTTTGTATTTTTTTTGTAGAGACAGGGTTTTACCATTGGCCAGGTTGGTCTTGAACTCCTGACCTCAGGTAGAGTCCACTTATCTTGGCCTCTCAAGGTTCTGGGATTAGAGGTGTGAGCCACTGTGCCTGGCCCTCATTAATGATTTTTAATAAATATGCTTATTTTTCTCTCTTTCTTTCTCTCCTTAAGATGGCTCTGAGCAAATCAATGCATGCGAGAAATAGATACAAGGACAAACCTCCTGACTTTGCATATCTGGCATCCAAATATCCAGATTTTAAGCAGCATGTTCAGATAAATCTGAATGGAAGAGTGAGGTAGGTAACATGTAAAATTACTATATTATTCTTGTGGGATTCAAAGGGACACAATAGAATAGAAAGCCCTCCTGAATGTTAATGTTAGACATTTGATTAAACTTCCCATGCAACCTTTGACAAATCACTTAACCTCTCTGGGTCTCAGCTTTTTTTTTTTTTTTTTTTTTGAGATGGAGTGTTGCTCTGTAGCCCAGGCTGGAGTGCAATAGCACAATCTCGGCTCACTGCAACCTCCGCCTCCCAGGTCCCGGTTCAAGCAATTCTCCTACCTCAGCCTCCCAAGTAGCTGGGATTACAGACATGAGCCACCATGCCCAGCTAATTTTTGTGTATTTTTAGTAGAGATGGGGTTTCACCACGTTGACCAGTCTGGTCTTGAACTCCTGACCTCGTGATCCACCCTCCTCGGCCTCCCAAAGTGCTGGGATTTCAGGTGTGAACCACTGTTCCTGGCCAGGTCTCAGCTTTTTAATGTATACCATTAGAGGAATGGACTAAATACTTTTAAGTTTTCGTCTGGGTTTAAAGAACAAAAACTTCTCAATGTCTACAATATTGCTTATCCTACAGAAATCTCAGAGTCACTGCAGAGACAGGACTGTGCTCTTCATGATCTAAAACTTAGTCACCAGTGGGATCTAAAGGTATTTTAATAAGTGTGTGTTTATTTTAATGTGAGGCAGGAAAATAATAACTGGGACATCATAACTGATTTCACAGATATTACTTCAGATGTTACTAAATTTAAGAAGTTGATTTATTTTTATTTATTTATTTTGTTTTTAGAGGTAGGGTCTTGCTCTGTTGCCCAAGCTGGAGTGCAGTGACATAGTCATAGCTTATGACAGTCTTGACCTCCTGGGCCCAAGCTGTCTTCCTGCCCTAGCCTCCCAAAATAAAAATAGCCAAGTGTGCCCCAACATGCTTAGCAATTTTTATTTTTAGTTTTGTAGAGACGAAAACTAAGTTTTGTAGTCTTGCCATATTGCCCAGGCTGGTCTCAAACTCCTGGATTCAAGTGATCCTCCCTCCTTGGCCTCCCAAAGTTCTGGAATTACAGCCACCACACCAAGCCAGAAACTTGATTTTAAATTTTTTATTATTTTATTTTATTTTTTTAGATGGAGTCTCACTCTCCCCCAGGGGACAGTGTGATGGTGCAGCCTCAGCTCACTGCAACCTCTGCCTTCCAGGTTCAAGCGATTCTCCTGTGTCAGACTTCTGAGTAGTTGGGACTATAGGTGTTCACCAACACACCCAGCTAAATGCTAGGCTTAGCATTTTGAAAAATAGAGAAATTAAAAAAATGTTTGACAGAGTATAGTGGTGCAACTCTTTAATCCCAACACCTTGGGAGGCTGAGGTGGGAGGATCCCCTACAGTGATCATAGTTCACTGCAGCCCCAGCCCCAGGAGTTCAGGGCTGCAGTGAACTATGATTGCACCACTGCACTCCAGCCTAGGCAACAAGATGAGACCCATCTCTAAAAAATAATGTTTTACAAAATTTCTAACTTTTAAATAATATATATATATTTTTTTGAGATGGAGTTTCGCTCTTGTTACCCAGGCTGGAGTGCAATGGCGTGATCTAGGCTCACCTCAACCTCCACCTCCTGGGTTCAGGCAATTCTCCTGCCTCAGCCTCCTGAGTAGCTGGGATTACAGGCATGCGCCACCATGCCCAGCTAATTTTTTGTATTTTTTTTAGTAGAGACGGGGTTTCACCATGTTGACCAGGATGGTCTCGATCTCTTGACCTCGCGATCCACCTGCCTCGGCCTCTCAAAGTGCTGGGATTACAGGCTTGAGCCACCGCGCCCGGCCTGAAATACTATTTCTAAATAAGTAGACTGAAATATACAGAGAACAATGAACTTAGAGAATTTCAGAGGATCCATGAATGCCTTGAACACAATTTGATAAAAATACTATTTCTGGGCCAGGTGCGGTGGCTTATGCCTGTAATCCCAGCATTTTGGGAGGCCAAGGCGGGTGGATCATGAGGTCAGGGTTCGAGACCAGCCAGACCAACATGGTGAAACCCTGTCTTTACTAAAAATACAAAAATTAGCCGGGTGTGGTGGCACATGCCTGTAATCCCAGCTACTTGGGAGGCTGAGGCAGAAGAATCGCTTGAACCCAGACGGTGGAGGTTGCAGTGAGCCAAGATTGTGCCACTGTACTCCAGCATGGTGACAGAGTGAGACTCTATCTCAAAAAAAAATTTGTATATATACTATTCATGTCTGATTTTTTTTCTTTTTGAGACAGAGTCTTGCTCTGTCACTCTGGCTGGAGTGTAGTGGCATGATCGGCTCACTGCAACCTCTGCCTCCCATGTACAAGCAGTTCTCCTATCTCAGCCTGCCAAGTAGCTGGGATTACAGGTGCCCAATTAATTTTTGTATTTTATAATAGAGACAGGGTTTTGTCATGGTGGCCAGGCTGATCTCAAACTGCTGACCTCAAGTGACCCACCTGCCTCAGCCTCCCAAAGTGCCAGAATTACAGGCGTGAGCCACTGCGCACGGCCAGGCTGCACTTTTAATTCTAGTTCTCTTGCTATTTTCAGCACATCTGCAGTTACTTCCTATGCTGAAGTCTTGAGCCCGTCAAACTCATCCATGAGGGTTGAAATTATCTTTTTCATATCCATTAATATTGATAATGACTTTGTTTCATCAATCCCAAATGTTCTTTTATTTACTTATTTTTTGAGACAGGGTCTCACTCTGTCACTCAGGCTAGAATGCAGTCATGTAATCTTGGCTCACTGCAGCTTCGACCTCCCCAGGCTCAAGTGATCCTCCTGCCTCAGCCTCCTGAGTAGCCGGGAGTGCAGGTGTGTGCTACCACACCCAGCTAATCTTTTGTTGCTGTTGTTTCACCTGATCTGGTCTTTAGCTCCTGGGCTCAAGTTATTGCCTGTCTCGACCTCCCAAAGTGTTGGGATTACAGGCATGAGCCACCATGCCTGGCAAATCCCAGATGTTTTTAATGGCATCTAGAATGCTGAATCTTTTCCAGAAGGTTGTCAGTTCTCTTTGCCCAGATCTGGCTGAGGAATCACTATTCATGGCCTTAAAATGTTTCTTCAATAATAAGACATGGGGCTGGGTGTGGTTCATGGAGCTTATGCCAGTTCATGCCTATTATAAAAATAAAATTTAAAAAACCTAAGAAAAAAGAAAAGACCTGGAAGTCGAAATTACTCCTGGAGTGATTTTAGAATGAATATTGTATTAGCAAGTGGGAAAAGAACATTAATCTTGTACGTCTCCATCAGAGCTCTTGGGGTGACCAGGTACATTGTCAATGAGCAATAATATTTTGAAAGGGTGTGTGTTGTTGTTGTTTGTTTCTTTTGGTCGGCAGCAGGCTGGGGCGGGGGGGCACTTTCCAGCAAAAACCAGAAAGCCTGCTAGACAAATTTTAAAAGGGTTGTAACACTTGCATCTTTTCTTTTCCTCCTAAGCAGTAGTTCTCAACAGTGGGCTTAAAATACTCAGTAAACTGTGCTAAAAACAGATGTGCTGTCATCCAGGCTTTGTTGTTGCATTTATAGAGCAGAGACAGAGTAGATTTAGCGTAACTCTCAAGGGCCCTAGGATTTTCACAATGATAAATGAACACTGACTTCAACTTAAAGTCACCAGCTCCATTAACCCCTAGCAGGAGAGTCGACATGTCCTTTGAAGCCAGGCATTGACTTCTCTCTACCTATGTAAGTCCTAGATGGTAATGTCTTCCAATATAATGCTGTTTGTCTACACTGAAAATCTGTTGGTTAGTGTAGTTGCCTTCATCAGTTAGCTAGATCTTCTGGATAACTTGGAGCTTCTATGTCAGCACTCACTGCTTCACCTTGTACTTTTATGTTATAAAGATGGCTTCTTTCTTTCTTTCTTTTCTTTATTTTTTATTTTTTTGCTTTTTTAAAAAATAAAAAATATGTAAGCATATATTTTTTTATTTTTTATTTGAGATGGATTCTCCCTCTATTGCCCAGACTGGAGTGCAGTGGCACGATCTTGGTTCACCTCAATCAGTTGAACCTTCTGAGTTCAACTGATTCTCCTGCCTCAGCCACCTGAGTAGCTGGGACTACAAGCACGTGCCACCATGCCCGGCTAACTTTTGTATTTTTAGTAGAGATCAGGTTTCACTGTGTTAGCCAGGATGGTCTCAATCTCCTGACCTCATGATCCACTCACCTCGGCCTCCCAGAATGCTGGGATTACAGGTGTGAGCCACCGCACTCGGCCAGCTTCTTTCTTTAAACCTCACGAACCAACCTCTGCCAGCTTCCAGCTTTTCTTCAGCTTCCTCACCTCTCTTAGCCTCATAGAATTGAAGAGAGTTAGGGTCTGGTTTTAGATTAGGCTTTGTCTTAAGGGAATGCTGTGGCTGGTATCTATCCAGATCACTAAAACTTTCTTTGTATTAGCAAGAAGTCTGTTTTGCTTTCTTATCATTTGTATGTTCACGGGAGTAGTATATTTTTTTTTCTTTTTTACAGAGAGGGTCTCTGTCACCCCAGGCTAGAGTGCAGCAGTAGGATCATAGCTCATTGTAGCCTCAAACTCCTGGGCTCAAGCAATCCTCCCACCTCAGTCTCCTGAGTAACTAAAACAAGAACAAACACACACACAAAAACACTCAAAAACCACTGATCATAGATCACCACAACGAAGTGTGAAGTATTGTGAGAATTACCAAAATGTGACATAGAGACATAAAATGAGCATGTGCTATTGGAAAAATGGCACTAATAGACTTACTAGATGTAAGGTTGGCACAAACATTTGATTTGTTAAAAATACAATGTATATCCCACACACCCCCTAAATACATGTACCTACCATGTTCCCACAAAAATTAGTAAATATTGACCAGGTACAGTGGCTCATACCTATAATCCCAGGACTTTGGGAGGTCTAGGTGGGTGGATCACTTGAGGCCGGGAGTTCGAGACCAGCCTGGCCAACTTGGTG